AAAAAGTTAGTTCTATATCAACTATGCCAAACGTTGAGTAAAGGCATGACTATACTGAAGCATGTAGAGTCCACTCTGTCCCCAGCATTTCAGTGGAAACAATTTTGGTCTTAATGACTGAAACTCTTACAATACTCCTGAAATGAATTGCTTACTACAGAATAGTCGTTAGAAGAACTGCTTACCAAGCAAGTCTGTAAGTTCAAAGTCACCAGTTCAGGACAGTGTGCACCTATGTACTTCAGAGCTTCATCTTCTAACTACAAAGGAAAAAGAGAATTACTGACAAGGTTTCAAAGGGGAAAGATTTCAGAATACATTCTTCAATAGTCTACATCCATCAAACTAAATTTCAATGGAACTGACCAAAAACATCTCAGTATGGCTATCAGTATTTCCACCCAGTTCTGAATGTATCAAAATCATATTACGACTAAGGAATGAAAAGACGAAGCAAACACTGCCCAGTGTTTAGGAATGTTGTTGCTGGTCGGTGCTGTCCAGCCAGTTCTTACTCAGAGCGATCTCATTTACAACAGAATGAACACTCCCCAGTCTTGTGCCTAATTGGAGCCCATTATCACAGCCACTATGTCCACCTATCTCATCGAAGGTCTTCCTGTTTTAGCCGACAGCCACCTTAGTCACTCTGGAAACATGTCCACATATTTGAAAAGTGTCTTCATTCTCACTTCTAAGGAGGGTTCTGGCTGAATTTCTTCCGAATGTTGTGGCAGTCCGTAGTATATTCCATATTCTTAGCTAACACTGTTAATTCAAAGGCACTTTGGTTTTCCTTACTCATTATGCAGCTTTTGCGTGCACATAAGGTAATGGAACATAAGGTCTGGGTCAGGCACACCTCATTTCTCAAAGTGACATCTTTGCTTTTTAACACTTTAAAGAGGTATTGTGCAGATTTGCCAAAGGCTGCAAAAGAAAGCCCAAGTCTCCCTTTTGTCATGGCTTGGGAGGGCTTGCTCCAGGACGGTGAAGAATTGATCTCTGTGGCTGAGCTCTACAGGCTTCTAGTTGTGTTTGATGAGGGTGAGTCATTCAAAGAGATATTTGTCCATCCCTGCCTGAAGGTTACAATCCTTGATCTTCAATTCCTCTGCACTTTCAGCAAGTAAGTTTGGTCATCTGAATATTGAAGGTTGTTTAATAAGCATTCTTCCTAGCCTGATGACAAATTCTTCTTCTTTTAAGCCAGATTCTCTGATTATTTGCTCAGCACACAGACAGATTATGTGTAGCAACAGGATACAACCCTGACACATACTTTCCCTTGCTCTGTTTGCACAAGGCCTCTTAAACCAGGTACAAGTTCTGCAGGATTTGGAGCTAACCATACAAAAAGAGGATGTTAACGGTCCCAGAAACAAGGAGTGGCCAAGAAGATGGTTCAGGTTGCATCTGGAGAGGTTGCAAATGGTCTGAGGCTGGAGGTGGAGAGTCAGTGAGTCTGTTCCATCAATCAATGTCACAGCAAAAGACAGATTCATGGACTACACCAGTAGATGAGCTTCTACTGTTTGATCTCTTGACTTCTGCTTTCACTAATGTTGACTAAATAAAATTCTTGAGAATTTCCAGTTTTCTCTCCATTTATGATACTACAAGGCTGGTTTTGAGGATCTTATTTACATTGAGTTATAAAACATATTAGAGGGTGCTCTCTTTGCTCTTCAGCAGCAAGTACCTCAGGTTCTTCTCAGAAAGCAAGGTTACAGCATCGCATACAGAGGAAATAAGCTTGGTTCAAGGGTGCAGCCCTCACACACACCTTTCCTGAGTTTAAACCAGGCAGTCTCCCTGTTGTTAGGTTCAAACAATTGCCTCTTGCCCTACAGGTTGCACGTAAGCACAGTGAAGTGTTCTGAAGTTCTCTTTCTTCACAATGGTATCCAAAATCAGTGAAGGCCCACCACACAGTCAAGTCTGCATGGTTAATAAAACACAAAGCAAGCATCTTTCTGGTATTCATGGCTTTCAGCCTAGAGCCATTTGACATCAACAATGTTACCCTTTTCTAATTTCAACTTAAATTGCCATGTTTCCTGTCAAAGCACTGCTGCAATTAAGTCATCTTCAAAATGTACTTGCATGCTATATTATAGATATTCGATAATTTCCCTATTCTGCATTGAACCACCTCACTTTGGAATGTGAGCATAAACATGAATTGCTTTAAGTGGACTGCCAAGGTAGCTGTCTCCCGAATTTCTTGGCATAGACAAACAGGTGTTTCCATTGTTCTATTCATTTTTTTGAAACATATTAATTGGTATTCTGTCAATTCCTGGAGTCTTGCTTCTTG